CAGAATAAAGAATACACTACTTTTATTAAGCAAGGATGCTCTAAATTGATCAAAAGACATGTATAATGTTACAAATGATTTCTGTGTTTCTCAAGCTCCAAATCATCGAATTAGATTGATTTCTGAAGGATCAGGTGACACTGAAGACTAGAGTAATGATGCTGAAAATTAATCTAAGAAGGATTGAAGATGTATCGACTCTTTAAATTTGGTAAATTTTGGAAAAAGTAAAAAAAAATATATATATGTATTAAAAAAACAGTGTACTATTACATTGTAATAACATTTTAGAATATTGTGGTATTTTAATCACTGTATTTTTTATCAGCAAAAAAAAAAAAAAGTAATATACTCTCTGGTGTTTAATATGCATATTTTACTGTTTTGAGATATTACATCACAACCATATCAAGCTACAGGTTCCTAAATACATTATGTTTGCCTAGCAGGGCGTGAACTACTTCCTTTAGCACTACTACCTTTACCGCCGTCCACCATCACTCACTCACTCACTGTAAAGCATGCTGGCACGTTGGCCCATAATTCCTATTGAAATATGGTCTCATCCATCTCCAGACTCCGTCCTGACAACCCCTCACTGTCAGGCCTTCTTTCAGGCTGCCTGTCGCGGTGACTCTGGCACGGACTGAAGGAGAGTAATGGAGAAGTGTTTGTCTGCGGGACCCCTGCCGCTTTGCAGATTGAAATGCTGATGTGTTGAGCATTCTGTCCTGCTATTTGACTGCTGATGGATCGCGTTTATCCACTCGGCTGATGTTCATTACACCTGTTAGAGAGACAGGAAGCAACAGAGTGGAAGAGTAAGGCAACATGTACTCTTTCTTTAGCCCATGTCCTTCTCTTTCTGGTAAGAGGAAGATGTCTGTCCAGTGTCCAGCACATCTTGGGTCTGACTAGGCATTTCAAACTTTTTTAAACATAAGGACACTCAAATAAATAAAGGGACCTCCCTCTAAAATGTAAAGGCAGCTATATAATATATTTTTAGTATTTAAAGGTAGGGTTGGCAATTTTGGAGATACTAGCTAGCATGCAACAGCCAGAGCAGAGTCTAAACTATCTCATGTCTCAAAGCACATAACATTACAATAATGAATGTAAACTTACAAACTTAAAGAGCGCTTACTTGTACCACCTGACTGCTGCGGACCGGACTGAATGCAATGATTGGATGAACATGTGTTGGTCTTGAGAAGTCCAAAAGAAAGAAAACAGAAGATGTATGTAGTTTTTTTTTTTTTTGTAATTTTAGACCACATCTATTATTGATTGCTATAAAGATGTGAAGAGTTTCAACCAATATAACAAAAGTGTTTATAAAAAACATTGCCTATCCTATGTTTAACTGCATTCTTTTTTAATTTTAACAGCAAAAATGTTTGATTTAAGTTGACGGGGTGATGAGTACGCTACAATTCAAATGTGCGCATCCACCACGCAGGACATCAGTTCTGATTGGATCCCTTCCCAAAATCATCCCTCTCTAACATTTTCGTCTCGTTTTTATTCGTTGACGAAAATGTCAGTAGGTGTTCGTCATAGTTTTTGACAGTCAAAACCGGTTTTAATCTCGTCTTGTCTTGTTTCATCGGGGACAAAATGAAATTGATGACTTATTTAACGCTGGCTGCATTTACATGTCTAAACGCCTTAATCCCAACCTTTAATATTGCATTTTATAAAGACAACATGCTGAATACAAAATAATACAATTGGCTTTTTTTATTTAAATATAGCCTATTGTTACTGTGCTGAAGATTGAAAAATTAAATTAAATCAATAAAAAATAACAATGTGATACAATTGTAAAAAATTAAAAATCTTAAAATCTTACATTTCCCAGATACCCCATACTGCCCCTAAGTATGTTTAGCAATTAGTTCCTTTAAAAAGTTTGAAGCCAGAGGTGTTTGTGTACTTTCAGATTCAGGCAAAGATGCGATTCACTTTTTGCATCATGATGGCTATTTATGTCAGTCATTGGAGCGTGATACATGTGTTTCTGTAGACAAACAAGGCTTTGCCCTGCACTGCTGTAAAAGTGATATTGATTCGGTGGAAACAAATCAATCCAACCATTCAGGCTCTTTGTATATGTTTTAATAAGAAGCAAGGGTGCACCGAGCCCTCGGTTTGTATTCCACAGAACGAGAAGTGCTATCCCTCTAAGGAGGAGCAGGGCTTATTCAGGAAGAGTAATTCAGGAGCCTTTCAGATGGCCAATGTCATTCTCACGCTGAGACACACCGCAGTGTGAGGTTGGGCAAGTCTTCAACAAAAATGTCTGCTGTTAGTGTGCGTTTTGGAATGGATTAATAGTGCTTTATCACATCACCCACACTGGCTGGGCAAACAGTGAAGCCATTTACGGAGGCGGGTGAGTGATTGATCCTCCAGCGGCCTTTAAGAAAACATAATGGGGACTGTGACTTGGGGCTTTTCGGATGATTCACTCTGCCTGGACGCAACACTTTTCGACAAATGCTAAAGAGACACATTTGTTAGCATGGATATTTAGTAGTTATTTCCTTTTGTTCTTAAAAATCAATATAATCAGGGGTTGTTGTTTTTTTTTTCTTCATTTTTTAGATTTGACGAATTTAAGTTTTCTCAATAAAAAAAAATAAATCTTACTGACCCAAAACTTTTGATTGGTAGTACATATGAAGAGTTCAGATGCAAAAGCCTCTAAGTGCCATTTGAAATTTTCTTCTAATGATCATTTTTATCAAGCTTGTATATTTAAGTTCAGTGATTTCACTTAAATGGCAATGATAATTACCTATTAATTGTTATTTAAGTGAAATTACTGAACTTAAATATACAAGTTTCATAAAAATCATCATTAAAGAAGAAAATTTCAAATGGCATTTAGAGGCTTTTGCATCTGAACTCTTCATATATACACTCACCTAAAGGGTTATTAGGAACACCATACTAATACTGTGTTTGACCCCCTTTTCACCTTCAGAACTGCCTTAATTCTACGTGGCATTGATTCAACAAGGTGCTGAAAGCATTCTTTAGAAATGTTGGCCCATATTGCTAGGATAGCATCTTGCAGTTGATGGAGATTTGTGGGATGCACATCCAGGGCACGAAGCTCCCTTTCCACCACATCCCAAAGATGCTCTATTGGGTTGAGATCTGGTGACTGTGGGGGCCATTTTAGTACAGTGAACTCATTGTTATGTTCAAGAAACCAATTTGAAATGATTCGAGCTTTGTGACATGGAGCATTATCCTGCTGGAAGTAGCCATCAGAGGATGGGTACACGGTGGCCATAACAATGCTCAGGTAGGCCGTGGCATTTAAACAATGCCCAATTTGCACTAAGGGGCCTAAAGTGTGCCAAGAAAACATCCCCCAGACCATTACACCACCACCACCAGCCTGCACAGTGGTAACAAGGCATGATGGATCCATGCTCTCATTCTGTTTACGCCAAATTCTGACTCTACCATCTGAATGTCTCATCAGAAATCGAGACTCATCAGACCAGGCAACATTTTTCCACTCTTCAACTGTCCAATTTTGTCCAATATTAGAAAATTGCTTTAATGAGAAATTGAACAGGTATTCCTAGTAATCCTTTAGGTGAGTGTACAGTGTAGCTGCCTTTCTATAGAAAAAGGGTTAGTCATCTCATATGATTGGAGCACTGATTGGACAAGAGGCTGTTCAAACATGAACATTCTGCAAAATGGAAGAGAAAGACTAAACTGCAAATGCAAAAATCTTAAGTTTCGTTTTGTCAGTTTTTAGGAGTGCGCTAGCATGAACCCAAAGCTAAAAGACATGGATTAAACGTCAAAAATATCTTATTTTTATTCCTTTAAGCGCTTCTTAAGAACTATACTCTTATATGCTGTTGTTGTTTTCCCTCTAGAGGAGAATTACAGGAGGTTCCTACAGTACATGAATGGTTCGCTCAGTGTTAAGCTTCAACACTTGTAGGACCTAAAATCTGTCTTTAAAGTGCACAATCGCTGCTCTTTAGAGGGATTTCGTGGGGCATTCGGTGTGTGCAACACATTTACGCAGCTGTGCATCTGTAGGAGTAAGAGCTCTGTCTCTTTCTGCTTTGTGTCTAGGCTTTGCCTTTGTGTTTTTCTTAAGACTGATGGATTTGTTTGAATATGTTCTCTTTGCATGCTGAAAGGCAAGGCCCTGGTGAATAGTCCTCCGCTTGTGTTACTGCAATATCCTGGGTCATTTGTGTGAATGCCAAACACTTCAGTCGCCAGCGTGCGGATCATTAAGACTGAAAAATGGCACACAAAAGTGAATTTGGAATTTGAGAAATGTGATTCCTTTCACCACTTGATTGTGGAATTAATCTCATGCCACATTTATAAGTATGTGTTGGCTGGTTATTGCTCTGCGAGTCCCTTTGACGTCTTGAAATTAACCACATAAGAGCCACTTACATAATTGTGGCTCAAAATGTTAAAAGCTTGAAACTGATTAATGATACAACAAAACACAAACCCTTCACTTGCTCCTAGAGATCCTATTTCCAGTGTGAGGCAATGTCTGACTTTATAAGTCATGGGTGTATGTATTACCATGATCGCAAGCCAGAATATATGATCGTTTTTATATAAACTAATGAATGAAATCATGCATTTCAGAAATCCATCGCTCTCTTATTCGCCATTAAACAAGAGTGGAATGGATTTAGCATGATTGAAATATACCAGAGTGCTTGTTATTTGACCTACATTGTTAAATAAGTCCGCGTTCAGAGTATTACATCTAGTAAGCTTGAATACATAATTGAAATGATTTGATTGCCGGGAAATGGAATAACTTTACCGTAAAAGTGAGTGCTTGGATGATGATCTTTGGCCTTTGTTCAATATACTCATATCTCTGGTGCCTCTACTTTTGTATGGTAACAGAGGCATATAGAGTGTTTAAATGTCAATTGAACGTTGGTTTAGCATCTCTTATGACTCATTTTTCTCTCCTGCAGGACACAGACCTGATTATGACCTTTAACATCTCCATGCATCGCACCTGGTGGATGGAGAACGGCCCGGGGTGCAGGGTGACCCCCGTGACCCCTCCTCCCTCCTGGGCCCCGGAGGACCATCGCTACATCAGCATTGCCGGCTGCCTGCTGGAGTACCAGTATGTGGAGGTGGCCCACAGTTCCTTGCAGATTATCCTGGCTGTGAGTAATCCTTTAAAGAAATCCTTTCTTTCCTTTTGCTGCGCTTGTGATGTTAAATATATACTTACGGCCCTTCTGATTGGTCGAACGTGGAGTTCTGCGATTAAATTTTAGTGTACACTGACAGCTAGACTATATAATTGACTGTTACCATACCAAGGATGAGAGGGTTTGCTTTGGAGTGTGGAAAATCCGCCGGTTGTCGGTGCAGTATTTGTTTTTGTCCGTTTAAAAAATATTACAACAAGTCTGTAAATATCAGTTCAGGAAATGCTTCAGAGTTTGGCCGAGCTCCAGTGGTGATATTGCTTGAATGCGGGTTGTTAATAGGAGCTCAGCATGCCGCCTTCCTTCGAGTCTTTATTCTTTATCTCTTCCATTACTTGTGACACCTGCTTCTACTCCCCCCTTCCACAATCAGCGTCTCTAATGCAATAGTGAAGTGAACCCCCTCCAACGTGGATTCAGCAATTCTCTGATTACAAGGCTCTACAATACTCTCCCTCGGCTTTCATTCTCATACGGTGAAATCTAAATTTCAAACATGTTTTTTTCCCCCAACTCAACATGAAATTAAAATTGACCCTGTTTACTGCATGATGATCAGGCAGTTTGTTTTCATAATGTAACTATAATATCCTTCGATTTCTAACAAAAAGATTTGTTTTCTGTTGATGGAACCAACGCTGCCGGGCAAGGAGAAATGTGAACCAGTAATATCAGAGCCTGCTTTTTTTATATATAAATATTGCGTTTCGCTTGGATCGGTATCATTTACCAGATGTTAAGTGGGTAGTCGACATGAAATTTCAAATAGAAACTGCTGTATCGTGCAGAATGATATCCTATACTGTTTTAAACATCTGTTTGTTTGTTTAATTAGGAGACGCCTTTAATATTTCTACTTAATGAGCTAAAATTGTGGTCATAAATTGTGAAAATCTGGATGAATTGTGACCATTATCAGTTCCTAAATTATGAGATGATGTTAACAACATAATATTTGTTATTAATATTATGCCCCCTCCCACACACACACAGTTTTCACACACCGTTTTTCATCTTTTGACCACCTTATATCACATGAAATACACATATTTAATGAGTCTCTCAATTAATTAATTCTTTTAAACATCGGTTTTGCCTTCACTCCTTCATTTGTAATGGTCCTGCTGTGAGACAATTACATTTTTGTACAAATAGTACAAATAGTCCATGTACTTTCTTAATATGAGCTCAAAAAAGGTCATCATAATTATGTCATTATTATCTACATTTGAAGTGTTTTATCTAGACTTAATGTATTACAGATGTTATTCAAAGAAAAACATTAATTGTATGGTATTATTATATGATATACATTTGTATTTGAAGAGTTCAGATGCAAAAGCCTCTAAATGCCATTTTTGAAATTTTCTTCTTTAATGATGATTTTTATCAAAACTTGTATATTTAAGTTCAGTAATTTCACTTAAATAACAATTAATAGGTAATTATCATTGCCATTTAAGTGAAATCACTGAACTTAAATATACAAGCTTGATAAAAATCATCATTAAAGAAAAATTTCAAATGGCACTAGAGGATTTGCATCTGAACTCTTCATATGTAGTTATATAATGCGAATAGATAAAGTAATATAATATGTTTTAATAATAAATAATGATATATTACACACACAATATGTATATAAACATAATTATAATGATTGAAAAAGCTTATTATAATACAATAATTACAAATGTAGTATTAATATGTTGTAGTTGATTACCTATTATTATTAGCAAAATCTTTTTTTAAATAGTTTTAGATGCTCGATTAATCTAAACCATTTAAATATAATACTTATAATTATAAATAAAGAATGTCACACCACAGGAATTTCCAAAGTATTTAATGTCTGTTACCAATACGAATATAGAGTGCTTCCATAAATATGGCTGACGTGTGATGAATGTTATATAATGCACTGCACGTTTTAATCAAAGA